TGAGGGATGGGGGGGCTGTGTCTGAGAAATTAAAGTGCATGTGGTCCCATAAACGCGGCCCTTGTTTTCCCTGGAGATACATTACTGGGGGGTGTGGAGCTGCCGGTGCATGCAGTGCTGCAGGGTGTTGCGATGTACATGGTGAAGGTGTACCTAAACAAATGTGCAACGCTGTGTTACGGAGCACAGCACTGCGTTACCGCCTGCTGCTTTACCTACAGAGACACGGCTGTAACACAGGTTGCTCTTGAATGGTTCATTTTTCAATCAGCCTTCATTTTTGTTTTTTAAATGTAATTATAATAGCTTGCAATAAGGGTAACTCTCTTTGTTTGTTTTAAATAGAAACTAAAGTCTTAAGAACAACGTTTACTGTCTAAAAATATCTCATTTTGAAAGCACTTTGTAATTCGTCAGTTACAGACACATTTTAATCAAATAACTCTCTAACACTTCTATTAATGGTTGTCCTATAAAAGCAAATATTGTTTTGATTTGCGAGTGTTCGTTTTTCTGAAATGAAATTCAGTGTGTTCTGCAGTCAGGAGAGTTTCCTATTTAAATTCTGCTGCATACGTGCAGCTAATGAATTAAAATGAGAGGAGGAATTACAACCTAGGTTAGAGCACGGGTCACAACCTTTTCAAACAGAGGTCCACCTGTCACACAAGTGGAAATGGTAATTGGCTCACTGCAGCTGGAATTATCTGTGCCAGATAGCAGGAGGAATGGCATCACAATTGTAAAATGGTATGTCTAGCTATCCAAAAGGAAAATGTGTAGAGACAAAGCAAACGACCAAAGTTGGTTATTTCTTGCAGGAAAATTCGGATGAACTTGACTTCTTCCTTTCAATTCTAGAGCATGTCCTAATTTAAAGTTGTGCATCTTTCCTTTTTTTTTTTTTTTTAACATTGCACTGTGTTCATCAAGTAGTTTGCAAATGTCCAAGGCCCAGAACATTAATTCTACCTAGTGTGTTTATGATGGGGAACTAGTTTTGTAAAGCATTTGGTAATCTTCTGATGGACTGTCTGCATCTTTGCAAGCTAGAAAATAAATGATTAATGAGTAGGGTAGAGAGAGCGTGCACTCAGATACAAGCATTCGTGCAAAAGGCTTCCTTTATGTGTCTGCAAATTGTGACCAGCAAGGGCTGTGTCAGAGGTGGGACCAGATCATTGGGGTCAGGTAGGTTGGAAAAGGCTTTTGGAGGCCTGGAGTCTGGGCTGCTGCTCAAAAGCCTGGCAGGCAAGGCAGGCACATTGGTCAGACGTGAGTAAAAGCCCATGTAAAAGGGGAATTTGAACTACCAGAAATGTCTCTGCTGAGGTGACCCAGTGAATAAGTGCTTAAACCTTGCACAGATGCCATGTAGCTCATGTCCAGGAATACCTGAGTCCTGCTTTCCTCGTGTGGTTGGTTGTGGTACTATCTCTTGGCTCTTCTGATAGTCTCCTTGCTCTCTTCTTTTGTCGAACGGTCTTCTTCTGCCACAAATGAGATGTAGTAAGAGCCCTTACAGCAGACCTGTGTCACTCAAGGATTCCCCTCTGTAGACAGCAGAAGAAATTAATTTAGCCTGGTGTGTTCAACAGGGAGTCTGTCTTCCTAACCTAATCCAAACTCAAGAGGACTGTACCCTCAAAGCAGATAATCCCAACTCAAACTGTCCACATACTTGAAAAACAGATGAAAAATAAAATAATCTTGTGCATGTACACCAGTCCCTCTGCCCCCCAGGGACCAGAAAGTTAATAGAGTTTCATTCTCTTTAATTTTAAATTCGTCTTATTCACATCTCTTTCCTACAATTCCCTGCTGGGAATAACGAGCAATGGATATAGAGTTTCCTAATTGTGCGATTGCTTGAGACTGCAACTACCTATCTGAGATCTAGTTTCCATTTACTTTACCTTCAGTGACTTTATTCAAAGGGACTAATGAAAAGAGACTCATCAATTATTGAAATGAATTCAGCTTTGTTCCCAAAGTTTGCATGGTGCTAAAGACTTGAAAACAGAACTGTGTGAAAGTCTCCGTGGGTTAATGTGGTTGGCTGGAGAATATTAAAACTGTCTCAGAGAGTGTCCTTAAAGAGCTCATGTATAGTCAACACCACTTAATTGCATATACCTTCAGATATAAAGCGTGTTTCAGGTGTGTTGCTCCTTATCTGAAACCTTCTTAGGATAAAATTTTCATTTATAAATGCAATGGAATATTTTCAGTCTTTTTTACTCATTACTTAAATCAGTTATTATTCTCCCTTTTCTTAGATACTGGTTCTTCTTGTTTTCTTTTTCTGCCTCGTTTATCTAAAGGTAGTTCTGTGCACCAAAGAAGTATCAGAGATGCTGGGAAATCTCTGTGCTTTTCCATTGTTCATTGAATTCCTCAGGAATCCAAAGAGCTAATAAGACCAGCAATATTTATTGCAGAAGATGTTAGAAAAAAAATATTTTTTCCCTTTTCTGGAGCTTAGAAAGTGGAAGTATTTTTATTTACTAGATTTTGTTGACATTATGTGAAAAAAAAAATTGTGGTTCAGATGCATTTCAGAGCTGGGTGAACAGCTAATTTACAGTCTTTATTGAGTTCATACCCGCGTTTGCACTGAGTTGTTGGATGCCCGAGTTGTTTGTTTATGGAACTTAAATTTCAGTATTTAACAGGGAAGTTTTGTAACTTGTTCAGTCCAAGAAGCAGATGTAATGTCACGTAACTGATCTGGCCAGTCCAATCTAGAGCAACAGACTTTTTGTTTGAAATAATGTTCTCTTGCTAGTGGGATAAACTAAAAAGGGAGATGGGCTAATTTAATGTCCTTATTTCATGGCTGACTTTGAAGAAATGTGGTTTCATTTATAGATCCACAAACAAGAAAAGAAGTGTAATCGTTTGCATAACTTGTTCACTGCAGATCACCCACTTGGCTTTACTTCTGTGGGAGCAAAGACGGAGGCTGGGCAGAGGCAGGAGCTTTGTAAATCAGCTTTCCCACAACTCTTCCAAATCTGCCTGCCCCAGTGCGCGAGGGGAACCACAGCGGAAAGGGCAGGGGCCAGGTGGTACAGGAGGGGCTGAGAAGGCGGGACAGGCTGGGGCACATTCCTTGAACCCGTGTCTGGGACTTCACAAAGTATATGAAAGCATAAAGCCATGAAATATGATTTCTTCATTGTTCACGTCCTGGCTCTACTGCTGTTGATTTTCAAGGTGCCTTTTGTGTTGTTTTCTAATGTGGTGACAGCCACACGGAATCAAGGCATTACGCTGAGTATTTAAATCCAAACCACTTTATAAGTTCCAATTCCTGTACTGTTTCCTTCAACACAGACTCTTTAAAAACCTGCCAGATATTGAAGTGATTAGGAGATCGAGCTCACCAAACACTCATTTTTAGGGTAAATATGCTGCATTTTAAACAGCTGCTTTAGTGCCCTCTTCTTCTCTTTCTCTGTGCTCAGCAGAGCAATCCGCTTGAAGCAAAGCGCACAGCTTTGAAGGGCACTTCAGTTCAGGTCCGTCTGTCTCCAGGAACATCTGACTTAGAAGAGGTGGCAAAGAATATGATGAGACCAGAGATTTCCTTTCCATCACAGAATGTGTTTGAGAGCTCCCTGTCTCCAGCAAAATCTAACCTGCCAGCTATGATTTGCACTTCTCTCCATCAGCAAGCATTCCTGAAAATCGCCGTGATAAGGTGCCACCTGCAAAGCCGGCTCTGACAAGTGCTACAGGATGAAATGTCCCTGTCCAGTAACTGCTACTGACACTACTTCAGCGTTTTTGTTTTTCAAGTATAGTTTCTAAGTCTTGAACTCATTAGATGCCATTGCTCCTGGAAGCTGGGAATTTGTTCAGGGTCCAAGCTGGCTTTTTCTCTCCCTAGAGAATTTTACAGATTGGTGATCTACCAGTATGTTCTTTCTTTTGCATTTTCAATGTAAGACTAAAATGCTTCTGGCTCCGTATGCATATGTAAGTCAGGACAGAGCAATCCGTTGTTATTTGGACCTCTGGCACTATATATATTTACAGTTTGTTTGACCTCAAAGGAAATTATGAGTGTTCGGCTGGAATATTTGACATTTGAGTTGGGTTGTTTAGCTGTGGCTCATAAGAAAGGATGCTCAAAAAAAAAGTGAAGCATATATAAGTCTTAAAATCCTTTTAGCCTGTCTTACAGAAATTTGAAACTTTGATCAAAATCTGGAAAAAAATCAGCTCATGTGTAAGGATAAGCAAATGCATTTTTCCTTATTTATGAGCCAGATTTGGAGAAATATTTCCATGTTGCGAAGTCTAATGAAGTTTTTTTTTCACTCATCATTATTTGATTTAGGAATTTTGGAATATATTTACTTTCACATGTCTGGAAAGTCCCAAACTCCTTCACCAGAGAGTTGGAATGGCCTAAATCTTGCTAGAAAACATTCACCTGAGTAGAGAAACTATAAAGTCTGTGAGTTATCCTCCTCTTAGATGCTGTGTTTCTACAGCACAATAGTCTCAGTTGATGATTGCTGCATCTAGATACTACTGTGATAGAAATGAATTATTTAGTTAAAGTTGCTAACAGAGTAGTAGGAGAAACATTGCAAAATTCACCCAGCTTGAATCATGATAAGTTTGTTTTTTTTCTCAGGATTGAAGGTGGTTTTCTAAGTGGTCTTCATTTCTAACAGATACATTTTTTTGATTTACTATATCCCTCAGGGGATGACTATTTGATTTTTTCCTAAAATGCAGTTTAAAATATGGGCATAGTCAGAATCAAAAACTAGTGTTCACTGCACTCAAAGAAGGGTGAAGCTGTAACTCACAGAAACGAAACATCACAGACACTTTACCTGAACTTCCTTCTCCTTTCCTCCCTGCTTGCTATTTGAGATTGGCTCACTTGCTGCTGGAGAAGGCCACCCTCCACTCCCTTCTGAAGTACCACCAGCATAGGCTTGTCCTTCTCCCCGGTAAAAATGGGTAACTGGCTCGCCATGTCGGAGATACCAGCTCAGATGTCTTTCAGTAGAGTGGATTTTTATTAAATGTTATGAGAGGGTCTTTCACCCATGCAGTTTGGTAGGTCAGCTAAGCTGAGGGAGCTCTACAAGCAAAGATCTTACCTTGCTTTGGAGGTGATTCTTTGAAGAGCATGCAAAGTGGTCAGTAGACTTGTTTGAAATGTGACCAGCAAACGTATCTCTGAATATTGGAGTATTTAAAGAATCACAAATATGGGTCAGGGTGGTGGTTGCTGTCAGTTTTTAGGCATCTCAGCTCCCTGACTCAGCTCATGGTGAGAGGAGCAGGGAAGGGCTCTGGGAGGAGGTAGTGTGGCAGGACCACGTGCTGGACTCAGCTGACAGAGAGATCTGATGTGGCAGCGCTGGGCTGTGATGAGATGCTGGCAGGGGTCTGCAAGCACCGTAGCAGAATTAGCATAGCACAGCTAGAAAGCCAAGAGGTATGAAACCGATTAGGTATGGTGAGCCTGATCTAACACCCTGACCCTTTGTGAAGATCACATCCAGCCAAAGCCAGTAAAGGCATTACTGTCGTTGCTCCAATGTAGGGTGTGTTCCCTGTTCTCCAGAGTGAAGATCTGAAAATACAGACCATGAATTTCAGTCAACCTGGCAACTGATTTCTCCCCTTTAAGAGTCTAAATAACGAAGATCTGAAAATGCCAGGTTGACTGAAATTCATGGTCTGTAACTGATTTCTCCCCTTTAAGAGTCTAAATAATTTGCATCCCTTTTTGGACTTCCTTAATGGAGTGCATCTATTGTTGCTACGTGTCCGCAAACCCCAAGCATGATGGATATCAGCTCCTGGACTCTGCTGTTCTATGGCTAATATAGAAATAAAAATATAACTCCTGTATCAGAGGGATGTTCTGATTTTTTTTTTTTTTTCCTGACTCTGTATTTACAGTCACAAGCACTGCTTGCTTTGTGGAGCAATAAATTGAATACATTACCTCGTATATATTTTTTAATTATTTATTTGTAGATTATTTCAATTTAAAATAAGATTTTTAGGTAACAAGGTAGGCAAACGTGTTTAACAATGCCATGATATAAATTGCTGTAGGTGACAGATCCCTACAAAAATTATTACAGGCAGATTTGCAATGCAAAAAATTATTTATATGACAGCAAGCAGAAAGACAAATTACTCAGAGACTATGTACATGTTCTTCTATAATTGCTCATAAATTATTATGGTTCATGTTAAAATGCATCTAGACTCCCTAGACAACTAGATTTATTTAAAATAAGAATAATGGGAAATTACCAGGAAATGTTGGAGAAGGAAATGCAGTACACACTTTGGATGATTGCTAACATAAAAGTGCAATAACTTATTGTCAGCCAAGTTAATCTATAATCTGCTTAATAATTTTGTAACTTTTGTTTCCAATTCACTATCTCCTCGGGTTGCATTAGCCTGGATAGGTAACTGGGATGAGCCCAGTGGGGCCCAACTCTGATTAACTGATGCTGTGTTGCCCTGCCCGCAGGGGACACATCAGGACTCCTCTATATCCATGCAGGGCTCTCATGTACCTGAATGCTTTCGTGTTCTACAAAATAGGATTGAATTTAGTCAGTTGGGTCAGAAGTTATAACGGAGTGGGGGCAGTGACAGATAGATGGGCAAACCTCTTTTCCTTAGGAAGCTGGGCTTAAAAATGGGACGTTTTCCATATTGTCTCAGTGCTCCAAATTTTAGAAAATATTTCAAATAATTGTCTCTGTTGAAAGCATCTAAAATACACCCACAAGAGAAAGGATTTAATTTGAATGGGCTTTCAGTCAGGCACTTATTAAGGATCAGCCGAATATTGGGTAGCAGAGGAAAGATGTCTATACATTTAATTACATAAAAGTGTCTCTCTCTAATGCCATTATTTTTCTGTTCTTACCACCCTGATTATATTACATGTTGAGAGCCAGCCCAACCAAAATGACAGCAAACTTTGTTCTGGATAATGGAGTGCTAAACTCCACCTAAGCAGCTCCAGTCATTTGTAATGACAGCTTGGAGAATACTCCAAACGGATCTAACAATGCTCACGCTCCAGTGACTGACAGCGCGGCAAGAGGAAAAATTCCAGCTTCCACGTGAGCGCGGGGAGCCTGACCTAGATTTTAGCCTTACAGCTTCGTAAGAGGAAATATTCTTGACTGTGTATTTAACAAGAAAAAAAGAGCAAGGGGAAAAAGTAGTCTCCTATTTGATTAGTCTTTCTTCAATAATTAAGATTTAGTCAAGGTGCTCTGTGAGACTTCTCCCCTCTGCAGATGTCATCAACCGTATAATGAATGGTTACTCCGTTCCCTGTGTGCTCTCCTCTCCGTAATTACCACCTCCTGGCATGCTGCAGGGAGCGAGCTGCTGCAGGGGACAGCCGGTGCAGGCAGGGGCCAGCCTGCCTGCCCCTTCCCCCTCGCTGTGTTGGGGTCAGCCTCGCCACTGGCTGCTGAAATCCTTCCATTTGGATACTGCTAATGGGAGAAAGGTCTCTAGTGTAAATCTCCTTTTCTTTCTTTTCTTCTTTTGAGATGCAGGTGCTGGGCTGGGGTCAGGTCACCGTGGCCGGTGTCTCCACTGGGGCACTAGCAATGGCCAGGGGTGCACGGGCCCCACGGTCTTGCTCTCCACTGGGGGCAGCTGGAGATGGGTTTTAGCTACTCTGATGTCTTGGCTGTAAATGAACATTCAAATGTCTTTCATCTGCTCCACTGTGCTTTATATACTCCAGCAGTTGTAATTTTGAAAATAAAATAGTGGAGGAGTGCACACTGGAAGGGAGAAGAAATTTTCGAGTGAAAGTGGAAGATGAGGCAGATTGCATGACACTGAAGGATGCTTAGTGTTTGTTTGAGCTGTGCTTTGACAAGTTGTTTGCTGTGGACGTGGGAGAAATGTTATTGAAAGCAGAGGCATTTTCAGCTGCCAAAGCTGGATTTCCATATTGGGTCAGTAACTAACTCCGTGACTCTTCCTAATGGTGAGTCTGCTCTGTGAAATGAAAACCTGGCACCTTTCTGCTTGACCTGTGAGCTTTCCATGTGTGTCTAAATGTCAATTATTCTTTACTGTGGTTTAACTTTGCTGAACCAGCACAGGTTCGAAAGCATTAGATGACATGACAGGATTAGATTGACAGAAGGTTGACAGAATTAATTAGATCAGCTGAATTAGTTTGGATCTAAATTCCAGTTCTGGACATGCCTGTTCATTTCAACTTACACCTGTACTCAGATTGCTGTGACTTTGGTAAAGCACAGGAGAAGGATTGCCTTTGAGAATACCTGTATGTCCTGGAGAACAGGGACAAGCCATCTGGAGGGCTCAACATTGGCTTTCGCATCCCTTGCTGAGACAAGGCGGCTGTAAACTCTGCACTGCTCTTTAATTGTAAGCTCACACCAGCCTAAACTCACACCCGGGCTTTAAAAATGCACAGATTTTTTGAGGAAGCTCTGTATGGAGTGCCTTGATAGGTGCTCGATGTAAAGGCCCTCAAACCCACCTGTATAAAATAATTCATGATGTCAGAACCAGGCTTTGAAGTAAAAATGGATTGGATGGGTTTGTAGGCCTGGGAGAGTTGGATTCATTCTTTTTCCAGCTCTGCTCTGGTTGCCTGTGTCTGTGTAACGCCATTGCAGAGAGAGGTGAATGCAGTGTTTCATGGGGTCCTGGCAAGAGACTCTTTGAGTTACAGTGTGTGGCTTTGGTCATGGTGAAGGATGTTATAAACCTGGAGGGGGTGCACTGGAAACAAATACTTCAGTACATGGTTTTCAAGTAACGATTATCAAACTCGTCCTGCTCTGTGTGGCATTAAGCTGTGAGGGGGAGAAAAGAGGGGGAAGTGATGCTGCAGCAGTGAAGACAAGGAAAGTCGGTAAGTTGGTACCGGCCTTTCATTTTGTGTTGTCAGCTGTTACAAGCCAGAAGCAATGAAGTTTAATTTAAATCAGCAGGATGTTTTCAGCGAAATGAGAGTAAAATGAAAATTGAGGTGAACTGAAACTGTGTGTACATAACTTCAGGTGAATGTTTTGGTTTTGGGGCTTTTTTTTTAATTGCAGTTGCTGCGTTTGCATCTGCCTGTGGGGTGGGTGGCAGGAGCAGGTAGCCTGGTCTGCACCACTTGGGGTGAAGGTATTGTATAATCTCCCTTCACCTGCCAATACCCTTGTGACAGTAGATACATTAAAAATATAGTTTTGAGTAATGGGTTTCCCTTCCCTCTTGAGGCTATGTTAGTTTTCTTTTACAGGTAACATTTGTTTTACAACAAGATGTTATGTGGAAGTTTATACATTAGAAATCTGTGGAAGTGGTCAGTGTCAACAGGCTTAAAGTACGGTTCAGTTGTGTGGGTCGTGTGGTCGCAGTACAATTAAAGCTGATTTACTGCAATGGGAGAATTAAACCCGTTTATCACTGTTAGTTTTGAAGGATTTAAGAAAAACCTGAAAAAAATGCCAAACATAACTTAAAGGCAGTAAAAGCCACTAAAAAAAGAGACTTGATCTGATATTCCACCACATGTAGAAATTTTGGCTCGCTACATTTGTTTAGGAAATAAAAAAAATCACTTGATGAGTGAATGCTCTTGAAGATGTGTGTGAAACGAAGAGTGTATGAGAATATCTAACACTTAGAGTTTGAGAATTGATACTGTAAATGCAGAAGAGGCAACTTGAACCTTACTTGGTTGAATCTGAGGTAACTACATCAAGGGTAAAGATGTTCCACTTACATATATCTGGGTATGATCAATAAATTCTAAAAACTACATATTTCATCAAGTCTATTAATTTTAGGTACTGCATTGCTTATTGATGATCTGCCTTTGCAGTCTTTTTCTTTGGTTATATTCTTGCTTGACTTTCAGGCTTACAATTTTTCCAGCAATAAAAAAGATTGAATTAAAAAGTCTCTGCTATATGAGGGGGGAGTTACATGTTGATATGTACATGTGTTCTAGGATTATATTGTAACTAAGATGATTTAAAGTCATGGGAGAAAAAAATTGTAAGGAGAAGTGATCTTTTATTACACTGGCTGACATGTTCATTTTTAAAGTGAACCATCACGAAAACTGTTTCGAAAGTTTGTGATGAACACAACATCAAAAGATCCCTTTTCATATTGGTACAAATCCTGTGTTAAGCTTGGTTACGTAGATAGGAAGTAGTTAAGGTGAAGACAGTTGGTTTATTTATTAAAGAATTAGTGTTTTGGGGATGAAAGTAATGGTATTCTAAAGAAGTGGAATTGAGCAGGCCCAATGTGCTCTATTTATTGCCTGCACACTTGCATTTACATGTAACTGAAAAAGGTGCATAAAACCCTTTAATTGCCAGTAGTTGCTTCAGTTTTTTCACATTGCTATGCAACAAAGGTTCTTTGCTTTTAATTGATTGCATTGCATTTCACAAGCTGCCTTTCACTATCCTGAAAAAAATATATCTGTATCTAATATTTCTTTATTATTGTTTTGCTTTCAGTTGATGGTTGCATTGACTGGTCAGTGGATCTCAAGACATACATGGCTTTGGCAGGTGAACCAGTCCGAGTGAAATGTGCCCTTTTCTACAGCTATATCAGAACTAATTATAGCATGGCCCAAAGCACAGGTCTTAGGCTTATGTGGTACAAAAACAAAGGAGATTTAGAAGAACCCATTATATTTTCTGAAGTTAGGATGAGCAAGGATGAAGATTCAATATGGTTTCACTCGGTTGAGTTGCAAGACAGTGGTTTCTACACCTGTGTTCTAAGGTGGGTATTGTGTTAAAGTCTAACTAAGAATGTAGAGATTGTCTTGGTTTAAAAAAAATATTTAAATTTAGCTCTCAGGATTGAGATATTCTTGCAGCTAATATATATTCATTATTTTTATTATCATAATTATGTCATATAATGCTTTGTCTCAAAATGAGTTTCTGTAGTAATTATAGTTACCTCTTCCAATAGCTATAATTAAACATGTGCTTTCAATTAATTACCTTTTTTTAAGTCCAACATTTGCAAATTCTACATTTGCCATAAACTTTCAGAACTGGATGATTCTTAAACCATGAAGTATTTTGGTTAAGTAATGCTCTTTTTCAAAGCCTCCGAGTTACTCAAGAGTTAGACACGGTTTGAATTATTCTGATGGGGTTAGGCCATGGGGAGTTACAGTTCTGTCTGGTTTTGAAGAAATGTTTATTTTAATATACGGTTATGATTTGTCATAAATTTAAGCAGACCTCATTTGGTAAGGCACTGAAATGCATGTCTCAGAAGTATTTTGGAACTGTTGGATGAGCCTTAAATTAAGCATGTGCTGGAGCTCGTGATTTCCATCATGTGGATGTTGATGTCAGCTCTGTGCCTAAAATGAGAAGATAAAAAAGGAGGACTCTTTAAGAATGAATGAATAAATATTCCTTAAATGATCCAGTTTTGAATTAAAAGGAGTTTACAGCTACTTTATATGATTCAGTTTTAAACTATTTAGTTTCAGAGAATGAAGCTTGCTTCATCCTTGTCTGCTGTTCCATACTGAAATGGTACACGTTCGATGAATTTAATATCAAATATTTGCAGCGAAATAAGAGCACTGTTCAGAGCCCAGAATTTGCTCTCTCTCCATCTCTGCTAAGTCTTGTTGCCTAGTCTCAGCTGCCTCGATTCATCTTGATCCTGAAGAACGCTACTAAAATCAAAGACTGTGCTGTGGTGCATGGTGGTTTGTACAGGGGACCAACGTCCAGTTTAAATATCGGATGCGTCTGCCAAACTCATTATTAAGTCTGTGTTGCTGCCTTTGAGGTTAATTATTCTTTTACTAGCTGCTCTGTCACAGGTTTCATGTGATGTGAACTCTGTGATTTTGAAATGTTATGGGAAGATAGTGTTTTACATGTTTCAAGGGAGCTAAACTTTTTTTCAGAAGAATTCACTGTTGTGATAATCAAATTACTAATTTAATACTCTGGAAATTTTAATGTGAATCCTATGTGAACAATGAAGAGTTGATCCTGGATCAGATTCTAGGACATACTTTTTTTCTGGGAAATTTGAAAACTCTTTGCTCGTTTACGTGACAAAGTAGTTTTGATCACAAATGAGCATGTCTTTAAATAATTCATGCATTCTCCTCATTTTCATTAAAAACTATATGGCATGCTTCTTGGAAGACATTACACAGCAATAAGATCTTCCTTGTCAGTTATGCAGTTTCCCTGCTTTGGCTAGAACTTTCTTATATAATTGCAGTTATTTTTGCCTTTTTCAGATTTTTGTCGGAGTGCAGATTACACATAGTGCTTACACATAAAAGACTATGTCTTCCTTTACTGGATTAATTTTTTCTTTCAAAAATTTGGTAATATATCCTTGCTAGTATTGTTTGTGACATCATGGAGGGCTTAAAATAGCTGAAGAAATAGCAATAGTAGTTTACTTTAATTTCATTAAAATTGGGCTAGATGTACTGTTCTGAAATATGATCACAGTTTTGTGGTAGGCTATCCACACTATTAACTGTGTACTTTCAGCTTTACTAATCCTCTTTTTTTTGGAGGGGGATAAGCAGATGTTTGTGTTTTGGTCATTAACCAGGATCACCTGCTTTGTGAGAACTGAGGTCACAAATGAAAACAGTAATTCTAGAATAAGAGTTTATTTTCTAGAAAAATTAACAATTCCTGTTACAAATGCCATCTTTTGTAGACTGAATGAATAGAGACTGGTAGAGAGAACTCAGTGCAGTGGAAATGAAGGGGTGACTGTGTCCATCAGTGTGCAACACTGGCTTTTTAGGGTTGCATGCGTAATTGAGTCTTTTGGTTTGGTAGCTGAATGAAAAAAATCAGGGAGGAAAATGCTTTTGATTCTCGAAGAGAAAATCTGAAGCAATTCAAATCTAAATTGACCAGGAGGTGGGAGGCCCTGATGCAATTCCCTGTGCTGCTGAAAGGGTGAAAACCCACATCCGTGTGTCCCGGTGGCCAGGCTGTGCTGCATCCAACCACTTCAAACCTCTTGCCTTAGAACTGTTTGTCTGAAATTTGTACTTGTCTATGCAAAAGGGCACAAGGGAGTGAGGTGCTTGGATGTGGTGCTAAGGCTAAGAGGGGACAAGAGTTCCCTGTCCCAGAAGTTTATGGCTTGAAAGGAAGGACATACTCTTGAGCTGGGAAGACCTTCTCTGGTAGAGGGGAATTGAATACTAAGGTGTTTCAGCAAGTCGCACATAAAGGATGTCACAGGCAATAGTGACAGCTATGTTAATTCAGTGTCCCCCAACTTGTTACTTTTTTCCCAGTCAAAACAACATGGCAAATAAGAAAACTGTATGGGCAAAATGACAACTGCACATTTCACTGAATTTCCTGTCTGTTGAAAAGGTTCTTCACGATTCTAAAAAAAAACCAACCTGTTTTTCAACAAGCTGCATTTTCTGGTTTCTCATGGGTGGTTGTAGGATCAAGGCATGAGTATCTTTGAAGCAGTTGGGAGGAATTTTTCAGAAGCTGCTTGAAAAGGGTGGGTATGAGCAGGTGAAGGACAGGGTGATACTATGGTGCTTTGGAGATGAGTAGAAATGAAATGTGTTGGTCAATTCTTTCTTATACAGAATTGTCATTTCGTCATAATGTCTGTTTTGTAAATGACCCTGTAATACTGAAAAAAGTAAGGAATATTAGAGCGGCGTTAATGAAAGACTGAAGAGGTCTGATACCATAGTGTAAAAAATTGCCTCTCCTTTATTAACCAAGTAGACATTGTTCCATAGGCAGGTGTGGGTGTGTGTGTATAATGGGAGGACATCATTGTTGCATTAAAACTTTCTCCCTTCTCACAATATATTTTGACATTGAGCTGACACTCAGATGGAAACCAAAGTGTGGTGTTTTTCACCAGCATTAAGCATGGCTGTAGCATATTAAGGGGTCCTGATTCTGCAGGGGCTTTTAAAAGAGTGCAGAGTTGAGCTGTGTTAGCTAATCCGTGTGAATTCCATGGGTCTGCTTTGTTCTCAGGTGCCTTCTCTGTGCCAAATCAGGGATATTACTACAGCAAGATCCAGTGACATCCAAAAGGGGTCCTGGCTAATGGATAGATGTGTGTTTCGTTTCAGTTCCTAGATAAATGCTGGGTCATTTGTATCGTGAATTTGCTGCCCAATATGGAAATGCTGTGTTCTGGAGGTCGCTTTGCAGTACAGGCCCTGGATATACCATTAATCTTCGAGTGCCCGCCAATGCTACTTTCTGATAAAGCTGTCAGCATTTCTGTTACAGAGGTTTGGTGTTCTGGGATTTTTGCATCAGCACTCTGGATTGAAGCATCTTCACTGAAGGATTCAGAGAGGAGAGCACCAAAACCAAACACGGAAACTAAAGCAGATCTAAATGCATAGGGTGGCCTTAAAGTTCTGAGTATGTGAGAGAGTCATTTGCCAGATCATGCGCTGCTTTTCCTCTCCAAACAATACATTTGGTTTTGTGTATTAAAAGCCTCTGTTTTTTTTAAAGAGGGAACAAGAACTGCGCCTACTCAGACCTTCTTAACCTGGTGAAAAAAGAGAAGATGAGCTAGGGAAGGAATCTCAGCGAAGTTAAGCCGCACCTTTGCCCTCAGCAAGGGCCTGCCTCTGGAGCCCTTTCTTCAAACTGGGCTTCAAACTGAAATAAACTGAAGTACTGAATAAATGCTGTATGAGCAAGATCAGTAAGAGTAAAACATTAGTGCATATTTGCTGTTAATTAACGGTTGGTGAAATGAAATAAGTCAATTCCCATAATGTGAGTCAGGAGGGTTGAAACTCTGGGCCTTGAGGGGGTGCACGGGAAGCAGGAGGTGGAGGTTCGTGGGCGCCAGACTGGCTTGATGGAGCTGAGCCTCAATTTTTGTACAGGATGCAGCATAATAAGGGAGTGAGGGCCTTGAATGCCTATGAGGCAGTAAGCCTGCAGATCTTTAATACCAGCATTTGATGCCAGAGAACAGCCAACAAATCAAGTGAGGAAATCTGCGTATCCTTTCTCCCTTGCTTTGTCCCTGTCTGCACAGTGCTTAATGGACAGCAGCATTGCTATGGACATGCACGGAAGAATCAAGCTTTTGCCGAGCCATTGGTGAAATATTGAGATATTACTTTCTGAGCAGTAATAAAATAGACTGATAGTAGATTTTAAGCCTTCGGGCTTCTGAATATCTATGGAGCTCACGACCAGCAAATCAAAATCAGATTTAGACAGCCTGGAGGGGCTGTCAGTAAAACCTCATTTGCGGCATAACCTTTGTGCTCTTAGTGGGTGTTAGGTAGACCTGGGGAACTTGTTTTAAATTCCTACAATCTGGACTGCAGTATGCACCCATCATCCCAGGAAAAGTTGCACCGCTTTTCTGAGCACTGGAGGTCTGGCTTCCAAGCAAAAGGAAAGAAGAGTTTTTTTCAGACAGAAACCAAACAGGGAAGTTGGGCTAAATCATGATGTGAAAATGTGTTAGGGGTAAGGTCACTTTCTCTGCAGCCATCTCTCATGGCTCTTACAATATGTATTTTAATACATTTTGTTGGTGGTGATATCTTCTTATTACAGAATGTTTCATTTTCAGGTGCTTTGACTTTATTCAGTGCTCAACTGTTCATGACAAAGGTGATTTTGTATCACAAATCCCTTTGAACGCGGTGTTGTAATTCCAGTTTAGTCATAGAATATCTCCTTCCATATGCTTCACTGGCAAGTGCATTTATTTCCCATAGACTTACTCTGAAAAGA